TGATGTTCTTTTGGTTCTCAATACCCGCCGAAGAATCATAAAGATTATAAGATTCATTGAGTAGTTGAAAGCCCCGTTTAAAATTGTTCTGTTTTGCAAAAGCCCTTCCGATAATACGTTTTGTGGTATGTAGTATATCCGTATTGTTGAGCATTTTTGCCAGTAGTAAGGTGCTGTCCGACAATGCAATTATCTCCTGTGTTTGCCCTGTTTCTTCATACAGCGACAGGAGGCCTACATTGCTCATCAACTCAAAATGTTTCACCCCTGTTTTGCGGCTAAGTGCAATGCAATCTTTGTAATATGCAATGGCGGTGTCAAATTGCCGGGCCGTTTTATAGATTTCCGCAAAGCCGATAGTAGCCGCAATTTTTGCCATAATATTATTCGTTGCGGTAGCCATACTATCCACCTCCCGTTCTATCAATAATGCCTTTTTTGTATCCTGTATTTTTATGAGCGACAGCGCATATATTGTCGTAAGGTTTGCTTTAATGCTGGCATCTTTAACCGCGTTTTTTAATCCGTAAGCTTTTGCTGCAAATTGATGGGCGGTTTTATAATCCTTCAGGCTGAAATAGGCATTGGCAATGTTGCTGTAGATACCTGCCAGGGAGCCAGAATCGGCAGCCTCCAGGAATATCTTTTCTGCTTTGAGATAATAATCAATAGAGGGATAAGGGTTCTTCCTTAAGCCCTGAATCTGTCCTTTTAAGTTGTAAAATTTCCCCTTAAGATAGAGGTCAGCCCGATTGTATGTCAGTTGCAATCCGCTATCGGCAATGACGTCTGCAGAATCGAGTTGCCCCGTAAGAACAAGTTCCTTCCCTAACAGCACCGAGAAAAGGACTTGCAACTTTGATGTGCGGCTTGTGTCTGCAATAGCTTTTGCCTGTTGTATAAAATAATTGGAAGAATCTCTATTGGTTTTTGTGCGTGCAAAAAGCTCGGCGATTTTTGCGGAGTCTTCCGGATTGGTTTCGAATCGGGCTCTTCCCCCTCGGGTAACAGGATTGCAGGCTATTATACAAATAGAAAGCAGGGCAAATAAATATTTCATATTATCCAGGTTGAGCCATGATCGGGCTAAGTTAGTTCTAATTATTACTTTATAAATGCATCAATCATTAAGGTTGGGAAGTAGAGCCTCTGTAAACAAGGGAGTGCAGGGGAGAAAGTATGTGCACGTCTTTGCAGCAGCGGATTTAGCCCGGGGAAAAGCGGGTTGCAGGTTTCGTTCTCAGCATGCCGTTTCAAACAGGAAGTTGTTCCAGGTGTTCCGAAGGATCACCTGGAACTTAGGATAAAAAAGCCGTTTGCAACGGCAGTCAGCGGACATTATAGCTCAATGCCATTCAAAAG